GGAGAAGCAAGAAGAAAAGATGTTCCCTGCTTAACCCCAAGGTGATGCTTAGGAAATGACAGGGTTTGAAAGTGAAGCAAGCTTTTTCTCTCTCCCAGAAATGCCCTTGGAGATCATCTGCCAAGCATGAGGTAGTGGAAAACTTCAGGGATATTTATTTCTAGATCTGTCACCAAACATGTGATTATGAGCAAATGACTTCCTTAATCTGTATATTGTAGGTGGTGACTGTGTCACACAATCAGTAATTACTATGATTAAATTAGGATATATGGGGCTGGGAGAATGTGTTCCTCCAGAGGACCAGAGTTTGGTTCTCAGCACTCGTACCAGGCAGCTCGATGGCCTAATGAGCACAGCTCCAGGGCATCCGACAGCCTCTTCTGGCCTCCACGGGCACTTGCACTCATGTGCGCGCGCACACACACACACACACACACACACACACACACACACAAATATTTTCCCAACACTCATTAATCTTGTTTATTTCAAATGTCTTCATTTTATAAAATGACTTTTCACTTTTCATTTTTGTTTTGTTTTTTTGAGACAGGGTTTCTCTGTGTTGTCTTGGCTGTCCTGGACTTGCTTTGTAGCCCAGGCTAACCTCGAACTCACAGAGATCCTCTGCCTCTCTGAGTGCTGGGATTATAGGCATGTGCTACTATGCCTGGCCATATTTTCTTTTAAAATACGAACTTTTCATGTGAATTTTTTATTGTTTGAGAATTTCCTACATGCACATACTGTGTATTGATCAACTGTATACCCCGTTGGCTTTCCTCCAATTCTCCCCATCCCTTCACCGTTTTCCCTACCAAATTCGTATGCTTAAAAAAAAATACTGCGTCCTTTAAAACTCCTTAAAACTTAAGTAAATTAGAAGATCGAGGCTCTTAGGAAAATGGTTACAAACACCACACACACACCCCTTTGACTTCCCCATGAGAAGTTAAGAGCTGATTTCAGTGCCCTGTAACCAACATTGACATTAACCTCCCCCTATTCCATGGTTGGGGGGGGTGCTTCAGCAATTCTCCAGGCATACCTCAAGCCAGCCAAGTTGACAACCGAAATTAATCTCAGACGAGGCCCTCTCTTTGAATCCATTTTTATAAGGATCCTAATCCGTAGCTTCATTTCTTGTTCTTGTTATCTACGTCATCACCATCATCATGTCGATATATGAAAATCACAGAAACAGACATTCAGACCACAGCAGATGGGATTTTCAAGTTGGTGCTATACCAACAGGTCACACCCCAGTTCTACCAACCACCTATTCCAACTGGTGATGCACATTCAAGATGGTGGATTTCCTAGGGAAGCCCCAGTATTAGGACTCCTTGATAGAAAGCAGTAACTGGCTACAGACCATGCTCTGAAAATAGCCTAATGGTGCCAAGTTCAAAAACAATGGCGTTTTGGCAGACACAATGTAGAAGGGAAAACAGATATGCTGGAATATTACATATTTTGTTAGGAAATTCCATTTATTTAATGTAAACGATATCACTAGAAAACTGCTCAGATTTTTCCTAGAAATGAAAAAAAAATCAGGCTAAGAGTTGATATTATATATAATTACCTTTGGCAGCACTTTCACTTCCTTCGGAACCTCCTCTTTTCACTTCCCATAGGAAGTGAAGGGATCTCAAATCTTAAGACCCAATAATGAATCAAATGAGACAAATGAGATTAATTTCGGTTGCCAACCTGGCTGGGTTGAGGTATACCTGGAGAGCTGGTGAAGCATCTCTCTCTCTCTCTCTCTCTCTCTCTCTCTCTCTCTCTCTTTCTCTCTCTCTCTCTCTCTCTCTCTCGTGTGTGTGTGTGTGTGTGTGTGTGTGTGTGTGTGTGACTTAGTTTGACATAGCCCAAAATAAAAAGCTTATTAAAAGTCATCTACAACCATGGAATAGGGGAGGGTTAATGTGATATGTTGAATATAGAGGAGGCTCGACAGGCCCGGAAACCAAGTTCTCATGGGGAAGTCAGAGGGGGGTGTGTAAAGTTTAGCATCCCTTCCCTAAGAGCCTCATATACTCTAACTTAAGTTTCAAAGGACTCAGTGTGTTTTGTTTTGTTTTGTTTTGTTCTGTTTTGTTTTGTTTTTTAAGCACGTGGACTTGGTAGGGAAAATGGTGAGGGAATAGGGGAGAACTGAAGAAAAGGGAATGAGGTATACAGTTGATCAAAAACACAGGATATGCATATAGGAAATTCACCACTATTAAAAAGAAACATGGGTTTTTATGGATTACTCAATCTGCGGTCTTGTATTATAGGAACAGAAATCAGCAAAGGCTTTACCTATAAGAGTAAAGGGCCATCCCATAATTCTGATACATGGTTAAAACCAGCAACTGGCAGTCCTCCATCACCCTTCTCGTCCCTCTCCCACACCCATGATCCCTCCCTGTCCCTGTAGGAGAATTTTAATCCAGGAACAGGCTGCTCTGGCAAGGGATCACATCCAAAGACCTTCTAGGCCTGTGTGATCCGGCTGTAATTCGGACACCCTCTGGATTACAGTATGATCTGGCTGGAATACAGACGCTCCCATGCCCCTCTCCAGGCCCACTGATAGGGGAGGTCCTCCTCCCCTTCCCTCTGATCCTAGTCTATCAGGTCTCATCAGGGCTGGCTGCATTGTCTTCCTCTGTGGCCTGGTAAAGCTGAGGGGGAGGTGACCAAAGGGCCAGCCCATGAATTCATGTCAGAGACAGTCCTTGTTCCCCTTGGAACCCCACTTGGATACTGAGCTGCCATGGGCTACATCTGTGCAGGAGGTTCTAGATTATCTCCATGAATGGTCTTTGGTTGGAGTATCAGTCTCAGAAAAGACCCCTGTGCCCAGCTTTTCGGGTTCTGTTGCTCTCCTGGTGGAGCTCCTGTCCTCTCCAGGTCTTACTATCGCCCCCTTTTTTCATAAGATTCTTTGTACTCTGCCCAAAGTTTGGTTATGATTCTCAGCATCTGCTTTGATACCCTGCTGCATAGAGTCTTTCAGAGTCCCTCTGTGGTAGGCTTCTGTCTTGTTTCCTGTTTTCTCCTTCCAATGTCCATCCCGATTGTTTTTCTGAGTGAGGACTGATCATCTTACCCAGGGTCCTCCTTCTCCCTTAGCTTCTTTAGGTGTACAACTTTAATCCCTAATAATGAAGGTAATGTTAGTTTGTAGAAGGAAGCAGTCATGTTTGAAAATGACATCCAACTGAGAGGCAGGCAGAGTGATGAAGTAGAAAGAGATCTGACAGAGTGAGTCAGAGATAAAATATGCCCAACTCACACAAACACAGCACAGGAAAGAGAGGCTACTTAAGAGCTAAGAGCTGTGAGAGGGAGAGAGAGAGAGGTGTGTGTGTGTGTGTGTGTGTGTGTGTGTGTGTGTGTGTCGGTTGTGTTGGGACAGTTTTACAAAGACAGCTCACAGAGAGAACAAGCTAGACACAGATGAAGACAGAATGAGCCAGAGAATGAGAAGGAGCCAGATATTAGAACACATTGCCAAAGTTAGTATGAGGCTAAGCAGAGCCGTTCAGTCAGAAGCCTGGAGAATACAGACTGAATCAGCCATCTTGGAAGACTGTATTGTACAGAGGCTAGAGATGGTTATTACAGAGAAAGAAACGCTCTAGGCTCAGCCCAAGCCCTGTAATCAAACAGCTTGGGCACAGCTCCCACCTCATCCCTTCAACCGAGGAAAAAAAGTGACACTTACTTTTACAGTTCCCAGATGATCCTCCTTCTACTTCCATATCTTCCTGTCCTGGCAAGAGTGAACGTATCCTATGACCAGGGACAACCGGGCAGTGATATATATGAAAGTCAGTGGAGAGTATAAAACCCAAAGTATAAACATCTCACTTCATTAACATATCGATATGCTGGACAGTAATATCGATGACATTAATTCTTCCCCAAATAAAGACCTGGGTCATTTCATCGTGGTGGGGAAGACTGAAATACTATCCGTGAGTGAAAGGAATTTGAAATGAGTGGTAGTTTGGGTCTTCAGACAATTACCAAACGCTGGAGCTGAGGCAACTGCGCGTATCTTCGTCGGCCTGTGTGAGCGTGGTAGGGTTGGTTCCAGTACAACCGAGGGAGTGTGTTAACCTCGCTATCCAGTGCGAAAACTGAAACAGATCGAGCGCCATGTAGTGGTAAGTAGCAAAATGGACATTGAATTTGCCTCTACCTTATTTTGGAACCCATGCTCTTTGTCAGCCATACGAAGCAGAGCCATTTTCCGATGTTTGCAGATTTCTTCGTCCATTCAGATGCTTTACTGTTTTTCTGGGGCTGTTTGTGTTCCTGGAATCAAATCCTGGTACAGCAACACAATCTAGACCAGTACATGTCACCCAGCATCTTTCACTGAGAAAAATATCTTAAATATAAACAAAAAATTTAAAGCATGGAATGGTTTGGTGGTGGTGGTAGCTGGTTAGTTGGTTAATTTTTTTTTTTTTTTT